AAGAAAAAACGAGGGGGATTAGAGAATAGAAACATACTGACTTATTACTGAAATGCTGATCGGTGGAAGTTCTCTGGGCAGGTTGTGTGAAGTTGACGATGTTTCTTCAGCACTGACTCTAAATCTTTAAATCTCGTTGGCTAAGTAAGCGAGATTGATAACTTTTCTCCCGCACTGCTTCTAAGTTTTGGGCTTTAACGGATTGATTTCGAAAAGAAATGTGTTATTTAGCGGGTTGACGCCGGGAAAAGATTCTGTCTGTCTCCGCCTGTCTGTCACTGTGTTAACTTCCGAAGAAATTCTCTCTGAGGGCTGCGGAACCGCAGTTTATATATTGGTTTTCCCTTGATTAGTGGAGTTCTAATTAGATGGTGGGACATTTTTCTGGCTTCTGGATTGGTCGAGATTGTGGGGGAGGACAGGAGTCGGTTTTGTGTCAACAAGTGTCAATGTCTTAATTTTACGATCGTCTTTAAATTATGGAAAAATGAACGTGCATCGATTAAGACGAGCGCACATGCACTGTCGGCACGGGCCCGTCAATCACCCCCCCTGGACATCGCGTGTCACTTTTATATTTTATGGTCGCGGACATCGTGAGAATCGTCCGCGACTTAGCTGTCAGAAAAATGTTTAGGCGCCACTATCGGACTTTCACTGACGTTAGTTATCATTTTTAATAGTGTTGTCGAGGAGGGTGTCATCGACGATGCTCATTAGCTCCCTGCGTTCATCGATTCTAACTTTATTTTATCTGACGTTAATGAGGAGATACTGAAGTCTTTGATTTTAATTTTTCGTGAAAAAGATTTTTATTACTCTTTAACTGTCTTACGCGTTGATAACTCCAGGTCTCCGTAAAGTGAGAAAGAGAAAAGAAAGGCTGCGTGAGTCCGTTAGACGTAACACGTGTATGTCTCTCGGTTTGATTAATTATAACAATTACGATGTATTTACAGGCACGTCCATCTACAACTATGCCTTATATCACGCAAACTAAAACAAAGTATTCAAAGTACAAATGTTAATACAGATAGTATGGTACTTTAACGAAGCTTTAAGTTTCTGTCTATTAATATATCATTTGCTTGGAGATCATTGGAATACATGGACATTTACTTATGCCTTCGATTATTTAAATTTCTATTTTCAATTCGTTTTAATGACCATTTTATTTCTCACGTTACATTACATATGTCAAACTGTTTATAATAAGGTATATGTCATAGTAGAACAAAAGGGTTAATAACTATTTACAACTAGAATGATAAGCACAAGCAACAATGAAATTACACATATCAAAGTTTTATTTGAAATCTGATTCATTGAATGCAAAGTTTTCAGTTTTACTACTAACTTTGGTAATTATATACAACGGACACTACGTCGACGATCTTGACCTTGACATATGTTGTTATCATTGCCCTGGGTAACCTTCGACAGGTTTTAGGTGGCGATCGATCTTCGTTAAAAAGTTATTAACAAAGAAAATTCAACTATAACACGAAAATTCCCTGCTTTAAAATATGTTTGATAGTCGTGCACTGTAGGGGACGCTACACCGTGCCGACGATCGCGACTTTGACATATGTTGTCAAACAGACAATTATGGAAGTCCAGCAACTCTTTACAGGGATGGAGGGGGGTGAAAGTCGTAGGTAAGAGTCGTACGCTTTTAAAACAAGGGAGAAGGGGGGTGAAAGTTGCTTCGTGTTAAAAGTCAAAATCTATGTAAAATAGTATTTAATATTGCATATATAACATAAATGATACGCTATTTTTCAAACTTCTTTTGTTAATAACTGTTTAACCAATAACAATCCAAAAAAATTTTTTCCTGCTTTACTCTGCATACATGGTTTTCGATACATGGTTTAATTAGGGTTAGGTTATTACACTCCCATGAGTATATAATAACCTAATCCTAATCAAATCATGTATCGAAATCCATGAATGCAGAGTAAAGCAGAAAAAAATTTTCAGTTCTAAGAGAGAATAAAAATTATATAAGAAAATATGAAAGTCGTGCGCCCCTAAGCAGGGGAGAAGGCGGAGTGGGAGTTACTTCGCGTGGAAAGTTGTAAAATATACTTTAAAGCAGAAAATTTCTGTTTTATATGATTGAAAAAGAATATTCTTCTTGTACTTTTTTGTTGTGTTGTTAATAATTTTTTAACGAAGATCGACCGCCACCTAAAACTTGTCGGAGTTTTTTCAGAGCCATGACCTTGACAATGTCAAGGTCAAGGTCATCGGCGCGGTGTCCGTTAATGTACCATATATAATTAACCGAACTTTCGTTTTTTGTTGACATAATTTCAGATAAATGAGACGGTAGTAATTCTTCACAAATTGTCCAATTATAATCTCGATGAGGATTTACGTAAACAGGTAAATAACAATAACAAAATTTCATTTTAGAATTTTAACTTCTTATGCTTAATTTTACTAGCGCTCAAAATCCGGATATCTACTTAAATATCATTGAATGATTGTGTACAAAATTGTGTTATTAAATAACAATTATGTTATTCTTTTATACATTTTAGAATACTTGTACACACATTCTAACGCCATAGGTAAGGATAAGTTAGAAAAAGTTTCAAAAATTATTTGTTATTTTATATAACAAAAGCGAGTTTTTGAAAGTTATTTCATACTATCAATATTCTACTATCATAGTGTACCGTATTGTCAATATTCTATTATCGTACGATCTGTATCCTACTATCACACTTTGAAAAATAATCTCAATACATTTTGGCATATAGAATTGAAAATAATTTATAAGGGTTTTGTAGTTGGTGTTGATATGTACAAATATCCTAAAAATACATATAAAAGAATATAATATGTTAAATTAATAAATTCATAGTGTTTTATTACATTAATTTTTAGTTATTTATTTTTGAACCATTTCTATATGTCGACCTTGCTTCTACTCAATACCCGGTAAAAAATTTTTCATGAGTATGTATTAATATGTATAAACATACATAAACGTGCCCTAAATATTCGTATAAACATGTATAATTATATATGAAATATATCCATATACATGTTCATACATCCTTCTTTCTTTTGTAAAATTACTTTTTAGTGTAATAGAAACAATAATAGTAAGTGAAAACATAAAAAATAATTAAACGGATAATTTTCGTATCGTTTGTTTTAGAAAAAAACAAGTTTGGAAAAATATTTAAAAAATTGCTCATATGTAATTATGCATAATTTTATATTAAGAGGCACGGTAGTGTCGCGCGCCATGTGGGAGCGCAGCGCGAGACACTCGTGTCTTTACGCGAGTCAGCGAGTTGCGGGCATCCGAGCATCCGAAATTCTCGGTTTTTTTAATAAACGATAGACCGATCGAGTTCTGAATATGAGCTCCATCGACAGCTTGGGTCCGAATTTTTTATATAATAAACGTTTAATTTACCTCTACGTGGGACACGTAGAGGTAAAATAAATTTAAATTATATTTAAATAAAATTTTCTCATTTTGTGATTCTTCGTCTTTAATTTTTTGAGATTAAATGTTGTATTCCATCGCAAATATAAAAGACTCTTGAATAGAAAGATAAAGGTACGTGTTATGAATAACGATAGACTCGTGCCATCTAGTGACTAAGATTGATTAGAGTTCGTTTTCTTTCCTGATGTTTTTTTTTAGTTGTTTATTTTTCTGTTCACTGACTAAAGGTATAAGAACTCTCCCGATTGGTTAATAATGGACAACGAATCGGAGTGTAACATTAAGGCGCACTTTTAGTGTTTTTCTTTAGAGTTCTAGTTTCCCCTCTATTATTATTCTTATTATTCACTTACTTAAAATTTTGTATAACGTTTTTGTCTTCTCTTGTACGATAGATTTACATTAAAGTAACAAAGGTGTATAATTAAATAGAGGAAATATACATCAGTACGTATCATTTTGTCTCGTTAATTAAATGTTATATGTTGCAATAAAATATATGTTCTTTTCGCAAATTACAAAATACAAGAGTATATGTTATATGTTGCAAGAAATTATATATTATTTTTGCAATTGGCGTAATTTAAAGTTCTGATTTCATTTTTTTTTAAATACATGAGTACTTACTATTGAGGGGTAATTTATAATAAAAAATTAAAAATATTACCACTTAAAGTATATTATTTATGTACCGATTTTTTTTTAGTTTATGTAATATGGTTATACGTAAGTATTTTTTTTCAACATTTCTTCAAATTTGATTTTTTCTAAAACAAATAATGAGAAAATTACCTTTTTAATTATTTTTAATGTTTTCATATTACTATTATTATTTCTATTACACTAAAAAGTAATTTTACAAACGAAAGAGGATGTATGAACATTTATGAACATACTTCAAACATAACTATATATGTTTATGAATATTTATGCGTGTTTATGTAAGTTTATACAAATTCATTAATGAAAAATTTTTTACCGGATATGTCGTTAAAACATTGTGGTTACATAACTTAACTTTGGAAAATGTATTAAATTGGACTCAAATTTAATTTATTATTTACTACGTTCATACATTAATGTGAACGCTTTACTTTGAAACTAAAAAATGGATTGATTTTGACACATATTGAAGCTAAAAGTAACAAAAATGTCATTAAACGTAAGGAATAGGATTGCTCTTTAATATCTGCGACAAAGTAACATAACTGACGTTTTATAATAATGTCTTAAATTTACTAATCCATTTGATAAAATTTATGCAAGTGTCCGAACTATCAAGAGTGGTAGTATATATTTAACGCTTATTAAATTATTTATTTTAATTAAATTGGGCAGTTTATGTTGCAAATAAAACAGAGAGAGGTAAGATTTGGCTTGGGACATTTCTACTATGGATATAATTTTATCTGCTGGGTATGTCTTATTTTAAATAAAAGTATAAAAGTGTACAATAAACGTAAATATATAGATATATACTACTGTGTTCAAAAAGTAAGGTGAATTTTGTTATAAAATGAAAAATCTTTATTTATTCCTCCAAATCAATTTCATCCCCTTCGAAGTATTCCCCCTCCGATACAATGCACTTATGCCAACGTTTTTTCCATTCCTCGAAGCATGCCAAAAAGTCGTTTATCGGTATAGCCTTCAGAGCGCGCAGCGATTCACGTTTAATCTCTTCAATAGATTCAAAACGGTGTCCCCGGAGCGGTCTTTTGAGTTTGGGAAATAGCCAAAAGTCACACGGAGCTAAGTCAGGTGAATAAGGCGGTTGCGGAACGATATGTGTGGAATTTTTGGCGAAAAACTCACGAAGAATCAATGCCGTGTGAGACGGCGCATTATCGTGATGCAAAATTGGCACCAAACGAGATTTGACTTTTCTAAGGCCCAAATGATCTTTCAAAATTGTTTGAACGGATCCAATTGAAATGCCAACCATCTCGACAAGGTCTCTTATTGACAATCGACGATTTTCGAGCACCAATTCCTTAATTTTTTTGACGTGTTGCTGATTAGTTGACGTTGATGGTCGTCCGGGACGTTCCAAGTCATCAACACGTTCTCTACCTTCACTGAAGTCTTTGTACCACTTGTAAACATTTTTCTGCGACATAGTCGATTCACCGAAAGCCTTCTGCAACATTCTGAACGTTTCCGCAGCCGAAATTTCATTTCGCAAACAAAATTTAATGGCACTTCTTTGCTCAGAAAAATCAGACATTTCCAAAATCGCCAAAAGCACTTTTAGTCGTTTAGAAAACACAAGCGTAACTATATCACTAATGATGACATTCACATGCTATTTGCTACAGATGTCACTAACATTAGTACCAACATAAAAATAAAAAAGTTTGCTCAAATCGATTAGCGCGGGAAGTTTAAATTAACAATTCACCTTACTTTTTGAACACAGTAGTACATGCAATATATACATGATGGATCAATAACTCTGTTCACTTTGAATATTTCCTCTATTTTTAGAGATATGTAATATTATATTTATTGAAGTTGTACAACATCAAGGGGATATAATATACTATTAATAGTTTTTCTATGGATGGAGGCGCTTCGGAGATTTCAAGGTCACTTTCACTTTCTTAAATGAAATTGAATGTTTGTTTTACAAAATATGTTTTACAAAATATGATTCCTCTAATTATTTTACATATAAAAGTATTAAAGTAGCGTATCAAAAAATCAATAGTTTACGAGATATTTTGTACTTTATTTTGGCATATATGAACATAAAATTTCTAATTATTCTTAAACTATTAATTCTTTTATAACCTTAATACTTTTATAAACATAATAATGAGATGAATCAATTGGTGGATGAAAAACACATAGTTGCTTTAAAACAGATATGTATGAATAAAGGATATTTTTTTAAATAAACAGCTATGTGATTTCCCAGTGAGAATTAACAATAGATTCGATATCGAATGGATGTTGATTCGACATCGAAATCATCAAATTGACGTCTATTCGACATCGATTTCATTGTCATTTCTCACTGAGTTCTTTCCATCAATTCATTCATCTCATTACTCTGTTCATAAAACTATTAAGGATTACAAAAAAAATTAATAATTTACGAGTATTTAATATTTTATGTCAATATATGCCAGAATAAATAATACAAAATATCTCGTAAACTATTAACTTTTTGATATCACTACCTTAAAACTTTTATATGCAGAATAATTAAAGGAATCATATAGGGGAAAGTTGCTGAATGCGTACTGGTCACCTAAATCGTACCTCGTCGATATTTCATATTATTACGTAATATAAGCAACATTTAATGACAAAAATATGAACTAAATGAAAAATGAGTAATGTAGACAAAAATTCAACAGGCTATACCTTATTTTGTGCGTGCAAACAACATTTTAAAAAATCAGATATAACAAATGTTAATTTTTGATCAATTTATATAGCCGATAGTAATGTAATGATATAATTTTATTCTGAATTGTTATATTTTCACAAAAGAAAGTTTATTGTAGAATATTTTACATTCATTGATATACATATTTACATCCGTTACAAAGATTAAATAAATATTTTTATAAAATCGATTAAGTTTCCTAAATCGTACTACCTCTTATATATGGCTTCATTCGGAATTGCAGCCTTTTAGGTTATGGTGCCTCGGATGCATTATTTTGTCTTTGCTTTGGAACAACATAAAAGATAAAACAATCATGATGCATCCGAGCAATGTTTCCAAACGCCTGTATAAGAATAATTAGAAATAATATTATATTTTGTCAATTTCAAAGACGGTACGATTTGGGATACTTACAGGTACGATTTAGGTGACCGGTTGCCTAAATCGGACCTTTTGCAGCATGTTGCAAAAAGACTCCCAGTGAATTAATTTGATATTGATAGAAGATAAAACGTAATAATAGGTACTTGAAATATCAAAGTACAATTTCTAATCTTCATTTGCACACAAATCAGTTCTAAATGATAAATATAATAAAAAATACGTTAAGTGGTACGCATTCAGCAACTTTCCCCTATATTATGTAAAAAAAAGCAAACTATTCCATTTAAAAAAGTGGAGGTGACCTTGAAATCTCCAAGCGCCTCCACTCATAGAAAAATTATTACTAATATATTGTACCCCTCTTGACACTTTATACAAATTATTATGAGATACCGAGTTCATTTTGAGTAAATGCTAGAAGTCTATAGGCAGAATTTTAAAAAATAATAGGTCATTTTGAAGGGAATTTAATAAGGTTTAAGATAACGTTACGCAAAGTTTGATTCAAATCCCATTTTCTTCGAAAATTAGAGAAATGTAAAAAGTGAGCAAATCGCAAAGTCAAAAAATTGTGCTCCTAATATGAGATTCCCCGAAAAATCGATAGTAACGCGCAAAGTACGTCAGTATTGCAATTAAAACAATTTTTATTTAATGTTTCTAAAATACAAACAAACACTGTCAGCGTGTGTGAAAAATGAGCATGCGGTAGATACCCAGAACTCATTTTCAGATAGTTGGAATCAAGCATCGCAAATATACAGGCACTCAACGTTCATACCGGTTGTCTTTTTTATTATTGTACAATAACATTTATACTTTAGCAACGATTTTCACTATAACATAGGGACATGGGTTATTTCATATTAGGAATACCTTGGGTGTTATATTACAATTTCCACGCCTTATGGTTTTACGATCATCAAATCTAGCTTCAGTAATCAAACAATTCAATATATCCAATTTTTTTTCTATTAGTACGACCTTACTGCATCATTACATGAAAAACGTATTTCCAAATATTTATTTATTCAATAATAAACAAGGTTGAAGTGCTCATCCCAATGTAACCTGAAAATATTTAAATTCTAAAATCTTATTTTACAATGACTATAGGCATAATCTAATAATGAATTTTCTACTAAATAGTTTTCAATTCAAGAGCAATAAACTCATGGTGGGACCTATAGACAGCGTTTATTAGTTTAGCAGATACCCCGTTATCTCATATTAGGCGCCTATCTCATAACAGGAGGCTTTTTTCTATATATAAAATAGAACGTATTCAAGATCTTATTTATAATTAATTCTTTTAAATTTAACCTTTTCTCTCCTAACGCTGGCTATGTTCGGCAAACGCAAAGCGATCCGTATAGACGAACGCTCTCTACAGCCAGCATTCGCGAAGTAATTTATAGTATTTCTTATAGTAAGAGTCACGCCAAACTATCCTGTACAACCATATACGAAGCGCTGTTAACATTGATTTTGTCAAATAATGAATATTTAAACATAATTTGTAGCGGTAGTATATTGATACATATAATGCCACTGGCATGAAACAGATAATTAAAAACGGTTTACAAAGAAATTATAATTACCTTATTTTAAGGGACAATCCCTTTTTTTCAAAAACATGTCCATGCTATTTGGGCATAAAATAATATTTTAAACGCCAAAAACTGTCCACATTTAATGTCTACACTTTTGGCCGCGATCAATGGCGGTATTCCGATGGACCGCCCGCTTTCTGAGCGAAAGGGTTAACAAAATTGTTTTCATCAAGTGTAACGATAGCATATTTTCTTTCAGACGTATGCCACAGTTTTGTCCATTAGGATAACTCTTTCGCAGGTATATAACAGACCTTCCATTCTCGCAGTAATGCATGAGAAATTTTGTTTGATTATGGTTTGATATGAATAAGATTCGCGCGCGCATATATAATTAAATGCATTTTACTTAAACCAAAATCTCGGATTTTGTTATAACAATTAGAAAGAATTTCTGGTTGTTATGACAAGAATCGAGATTTTACATCTAAAACTATAATTATTTTATAAGTATTATATTATTTATTACATTATAAAAGGATTTTTAAAAAATATTTTTCAGTTTGGTTGGAATGAAAATTCTTTTAAATTCGCATCATCAGAATCATGATTAATTTTAATCTCAGCGCTATATAGCAGACCAATTATTGTGTTAGTTGACATAAATCAACAAAAAGTATTATTATTTAGTAGCATAATTAAAAAATTAATAATGCGCGATTAAGTATACGGTAGCGTTGAAAATATACGTATGATAACACAAATTTTATTGAACCAATTGTTACTTTAATATTTGTAAACGGAATGAAATATTAACAATAAATAAATCTTATTTACTTTTAATCGTTAACTTGCGATTATAAAATTTATTAAAATTCATCTAATGAAATTTAATTACCTTCCCTTTGTGGTACGCTGGTTAAGGGTACATTCTAGCATCCGCAATAAAAATAAGACTTTTTTTCTTAACGAAAACTACAAGGCGTACAATTATAATTTTTCACATACTTATTAACACATATGTCAATATACGAAAAAAATTTTTACAGCAATATTTTTATTCTAAAATTTCAAGAAATTAGTTGTGAGGCGCAGAGTTGAAAAAATGAGATGACCAAACGGTTGACACGATATCTCGAGAACCAATACCTAGAAATCAAAGAACAAAATATTTTCTTAAAGTTTATTTGCGTGGCTATCGCGTAAATTAAAATTATTGAAAAATATTTAAAATTCACGAGTTGACACGTGTTTTTAGAAAGTGATACGAAAAAACGCTTTTTTTCCGCACAAAAAAGTTGGATAAAAATTTATTTTTTAATTGAACCAGTTTATTCTATAGCTTATTCGACAGATAGTCAATCTACGAACACAAAGCTGCAAGAATTTTGAAATTCGGTCGGTTAGTTTTTCCGAAATCGTGTCAATCGCCTAAAAAATATTTCGAGAAAAAAGCGTTTAAAGGTTTTTCAGATTTTTTTGAAAATAAAATAATAATTAAACTATTTACCGGTAATCAGCGATTCTTGGTCCATAAAGTAAGCCTCTGATTTAAACATTTTGCTGTAAAAAAAATGTTTGGTAGAATCGTTAATTCTTCGAATCTCTTTCTGAAATTTTATATTTTCGGCGTATTGTTGAAATGTCGTACAATCGAAATATGCAAAAAAAATCGATTTTTTTGTCAATTTTACACTTGAATGTATCCGTAATATCCGATACAAAGAAGAACAATCTTTGTAAAGGAAAGCGAACTTAATGTATACTGTGATTCCACATAAAATTCGTAAGATCTATCCGCAAAGAAAAGTT